TCGTTTTATATTTATACAAAACGATTAGTAGACTTTATTAGAGAAAAATGCAAAAAAACCGTAGTGGACATATTGTGTTTAAAATAACTTATGTAGGAGTTAAAGGGATACTCAGGCAAAATAATGACAAAAATATAAAAATGATTTTTTGTACTCAAATCACCCTAAAGTGACATTTCCTAACGTCCCAGCATGGATTTCTGTATAAATTCTATATATTTTGGGTTTGAAGTTTAAATATATCTTTATATGTTGAACGAAATTTTGACGCGAACAGAATCACCAAATAGTTTAAAAACAAGTCATGCGATTTGAACAAACCCTTGAAGTTATAATAACAGGTATTGTGGATATTGTATGATTGAAACAAGTATAAGTAATTGATTTGACATGTTTTTAAACATTTCCAGAGTACAGTGTAACAACCATTGTGAAATTTTAGCGCTCTCAACCTGACCCACGCGGGTCAAGTTAGGAAAAACACCATTTTATTCTTTATAATAGAGAAAAGTTTTGTTCCCTTTGACTGTTTAGTTCGTTTTATATTTATACAAAACGATTAGTAGACTTTATTAGAGAAAAATGCAAAAAAACCGTAGTGGACATATTGTGTTTAAAATAACTTATGTAGGAGTTTATTTGAAGAAAAAATCTATATTCTAATTCAGAACGAATTTCTTTAACTCAAAGAAAAGATTGCAGAAAAAAGATACTATTTCTTCTGTGCATATGATTCATTACTAACCCTTAAAGATATACTATGGTCAAATTCGATATAAGAAAATATTGATAATTGCTACACAGTATCTTTGTAAATATAAAGTGAAGATGTTTTGACTTCACACAATGTTATGTTTAAAATTGTGTCATTAAAGACAACAACAACAACAACAAAGAAAAAAACAACAACAAAAACAGGCATTTTTTTTCAAAGAATATAATTTGATTGATTAATTTTTTATTTATTTATTTATTTATTTATTTATTTATTTATTTATTTATTTATTTATTTATGCATCATTCTTCAAAAAAAAAAATAATTTAACAATAGTTTACAAAATAATTTGACTTTCGTTTTTTCTTATAATTTCGGGCAACATTTATTCTGACTCCTTTTGTTATATATTTTAAGAGAGGTCAAAACGTTTAAAATATTTTTCTTTTTTAAAACACGGAAAAAAATATTTTTCATTCAGAATACAATTCTTTGGGAGTTCCTACACTTACACATCGAGCGGTCCATTTCAATTATTGTTTCTTTGTTTCAAAAACACAAAAAATTCATTCATTTGGAATATTTATCAGCGGAAGTTAATCAATTTACTCAATATGGTCCCTGAAACTGTTCATGCATTGTTCGAGAACAATACATTATAAATGGTCAGCAATAGAATGCCTTATCCCAGTTAAACAATAGTTATTTACGACCTTTTACAGAATATTTAGTTACAAATAAATAACATTGATAATAGTGTTATTACCTTATTTTTAGGCAAACCTGGTTACTATCTGATTTATTGCACTCACGTGACAGTAAAATTGCTAAATTATTTCACAGAGTCGATGATACTTTTTAAGGTTTATTATTTGATACTTTAACAAACGTTGTTCTTAATTTGCCTTAATTTCGGTTTTTACTAGGAATAGAGGCTTTGTGTTGTTTTGCTAAAATAGAATAAGGACTTAAATAGGAGTGCTAAAAACATATTTGGAAACAGATGTCGCCAATAAATCTCTTTTTCTCGTTACTATCTCTCGCTTTTAAAAAAATAAGATATGCTTTTGTACCTAATGGCATAATTGTAACAAGAGTTTCGGATAATTTAAAACATGCTTTTCCTTTCATTTGGTATGAAATAAATTCATATTAAGCGGTGAATTTGTCATATCACTTTCAATTAGCTAAATACATTATCATATAATACAAAACCATCCCGTTGTGAGGATATTGGTACCAAGTAATTTTCCCGCGTGAATTTTTACACGTGAAATGCCATATACGCCTGGCGATTATATATAATATATAGTTACAAAAGGGTTTTAAAGTACAACGCTTCCTATCTGTGTATCGTTCATCTACAGATTAAGTTTTAATTAAAAATTCTGGTATCATAGCAGGCAAGTGACAAGTTTGATGATGTCTCAATTTGCATGACTTGTAATACGATTTTATAAAACCCTCTCTGAAACAATACGCCTATCTTTTTCCAATGTAATTCGTTTATCGATGACGATGTACCACCTTTTTTCCTAGATTTGCTATCTATCAGTGGTTTCTCACAGAATGAAATGTTAGAAAATAAAAGCTGTCGCTCGGTATAATGAAATTTTTACATGTACAAAAAAAGAAAAAAGAAAAAAAAAGACTTTATAGTGTTTTATCAAATTGTTGATTTAAGAAATAATTATAGTTGATTCGTGTACTGATTTATTGTATTGAAAGCTTATCATTGATATTCTTTCAGTAGGCAAGAATTTGAAATAGAATAAAATAAAATAAATCAAAGCGCTGCAAGCACAATTTTTTTTGGTACCTAGTCACAAAGCCAAACAAGGTCACCGATATTTGAAATATTATCAGATAATATAGTAAGCATCCATAAAATGCAACTTCTATATTGAATTAACTATTTATATCTACTTCTATATTGAATTTTAAAAATAAAATATGTTTTTAAGTAAGAATCAAACAATAACAACAACAACAACACTATCTGATCTGCAATCGCTGACTAAAACAATTAAAACGTATACCGAATGAGATCATTTTGTTATTGCATGTAAGCAAACTTAATATAAGAATACAGTAACATTAATGATATTTTAGCACAACATAGAAATCTTGCAGACGTGCCTTTTATAGCATCTTAGAAATAAAAAGTATCCGTCATTCTTCCATTAAAGTAATAACATTCCCTCTGTTTGCATGTATACCTATATTTAGTTATTGGTATTAATCAATAACGGTTTGCATAATCATATTGATTTGATTTTATTGCATTAATTATCAATAACTAATAATTAATCAATGAATTAATTGAATGATTTGTATTAATCAATAACGGTTTCCATTTATCTGCTTCTATTGCATGTGGTATTTTTCTTTTGAGTAAACGCCATTAATATGTACTGTTGAAACTGTTTATGCATTTATAAAATTACAAATTCATACTGCAGCTCTTCTGTTACCTCGAAAGCATTTGAGCCGTGTCACGACAAAACCAACATAATGGGTTTGCGACCAGCATGGATCCAGACAAGCCTGCGCATCCGCGCAGTCTGATCAGGATCCATGCTGTTCGCTATCACTTTCCCTACTTGTTATAGGGTCTGTAAGCGAACAGCATGGATCCTGATCAGACTGCGCGGATCCATGCTGGTCGCAAACCCATTATGTTGGTTTTGTCGTGACGGGGCTCATTTATTCCATAGTATTGTAAGCTGATCTCATTGTTGTCCGTAGTGAACAAAAACACTTAAAATTTTAAGCACATTAACAGGTATATGACCTAAAATTGAAATCTATAATACCATTCAAAAACTTGTGATATTTTCAATAATATCAAAATCAGCTTTTTATATCAAATGTCTTCATTCGCTTAGTATTGTTGTAAATGTCTTAAGACACAAGGATACCGATTTAAGATAATTATTGTATCGTTATCGATAAAGAACAATTTGCGACAACCAGCTTACTGCAAGCAGGACAAATCACAACTCACCATTAATCATACAGTTGCTACAGAAACAAGCATAATGAACATTTAACACACATGAGGTGAAGCACTCATTACTTTCCACTTTGGTGAATTGTCCACTCTGTCATACAAATTTTCAGCTGAATTAGGCATTGTCTGATTTGGGCAAACTTCATTTTACGCAGTGAGTTCATATTAATGACTTTTAGTATATAAAGGCAACGTTATATAGAGTTGATATGTGGAAAAACTGAGACTGTTTCAGACTCTGTCCGGTCGATCAGTTCATTGACAACTTTGGTAAATATAAATAAATTATCGTCCACGTCAGTAAGGACCGGCTTATTCAGAAGGAGAAGAAGATAAAAATGAAAATACATGTACATAATTATGTGTTTTGAATTAATTTATCATCCACAAATATCTTCAGTACCGCGTTTATCATGGAATTCGAACCATGTGAGACTTCCTGACATTCCATGAAAAGCGGCATGTTGTCCTCATGTAGAGCAAAATAAACATCGCCTTTAGGGTTTTCTGCCAAATCATGCGCCTTTCCTTTTAACTCGCTATCAGATAAATGAAAACAATTTTGGAAAAGAAACAATAATGTTTTATCAAATCCAATGAAAAACTTCAGCGGTTAGTCATCCGGAAAAGCAAATAAAAAACAGCATAACAGAGCTAAAACCCGACTTATCGCTTTTAGTGCTTTTATTTGTATATCCTTTGAAGTAATTATCAAGGCCGATCAAGACAGATAATAAGGTATCGATATTAATTTATTAATTGTGCGTCACCAGATTTGTTTTGTGTAAGTGTATCTTGAATAATTCATTTTATTGCGAAGAACAGTGCACATGTTCAATTAGATACTTTAATGTCTAAACAAAATAGGTACTTTTTCAAATATCCTATCCAATTTAACACAAAATGAGTGCCTCCTCAAACAATGCGCTTATTTCTTATATATTTTTTTGTGTTCAAACATTTTTAAAATAATATTTCTCAAATTGATCATTATAAAAAAATGCATGTATCAAGAATAGAAAAGGTAGGGCTATGACGCACTTTTAATATTGTATGGTTATGATAAATTTCATCAGTAGAAACTGATATTTTTCTGCTACACCCAAATATTGTAATATTCCAAAAACAAACGAATAGAATCTAAAATAGTTCTCATTAAAAATATTTCATTCATTATGTTTTTGTATAGTTCTTAATGCGCATGCGCCTGAGACTAATTAGTTTAAGTTTATTGAACAATTTTTGTAGCGAACAAATATAAAAATATGTACGCAGAGATTGCAAAATGTTTCTCTAACTTTTCCATTACAAGTGAAAATCGCTCGTCAATCTTCGGCTCTTTAAACAATATATATGACTGAATAACTCGCAGGCAAATCCTTTTTTCATTCTTAACGCTCTAACATATACATAGAAAAAGGAAAAGGTGCGCGTGATGATCAGAATTACGTAAAGGAAGAATCAGTGTGATTTGATTTTTGACTTAGAAATGAATGAAATGTGACGAGTTGATTTTAGTGGAATTTTTTCATACGTAAGTTTATAACTTGAATTATTTTTTTATAATTTGATAAAATTTTGACATTTCTCACGATCGGAGGAAGAAAATTAGAATCCACGGGGAGTACGTCATAGACAAACAATACACACATATATTTAAATTTAAAATACCAGCAGTAAAAGTTTCATTTGTTCTTTAGTTACATCACCTCTGGCTACGGCAGGATTTGCCTTAAAATTTAAATAGCTTTATTAAGAAAAGTGAATGAGAATAGTTTCAGGCAACGTTTGGTGGTACATTTGACGAATAAATACATTAAAATATAACAGGAAAGAAGAGGAAATACACGAACAAAAATTTTGTTTCAATTAAGACTTACTTTTTCAATTTGGAATAAAGAATACGATATTCAGGTAAATATTTTAATACGATATTATTTGATATATCAAATTTTGTGTAAATGTTTTCGTACACTGGCGGAGAATGTCCACCAAAAGTACATAGACTTTGAAAGAATTTGTGAAAATTAAAATACGTTTTAACTTTATATTCAAATTTTTAAGTAACTTATGAGATTATTTTGTAAATTATCTTGGCAAAACAAGAAAATCATTTTTTAAGTATCAATATATTAAAGTATACAGTTTGCCTATGTGTTTTATTTTCCTTACAGCTTTTGCAGGCTAAGCTATCATTATATGAACGGTGTTCTTTCATTATTAAAGCGCACTGCTTTTATATTCATAAAACAGTAAAAATAATTTTAAATATGCATAAAAATTAGCATAACTATGTTGTCATGTTGATTGAAAGGCCAATAAAAACTAAAAATAATTTGGTTTAATTTTTCAAAAGCTTTACTTTTTTGGTGCCTTTTTACAGACTCCAAAAAAAGATACACATTAACCAAATAGCTGAACCATCTTTTGCTTTTTTGTCTTTTAACAAACGGTAAACTCATTTCAATTCAGTATTTTGTATGAAACCAAAATACTACTTTATTTAAATTTTGTAACCTTTATCAGAAATTATTTTTCATTTAAACCCTACTTTCTTCAGGTGATATGCATCTTACATATTCTAAATCTATTATTATAAAAAACGTGTTTGCCATCTCCACAGAAACAAAATTGCATTCAGTTCTGAGGCTGAATTTTGCCTTTAAAGGTCCATTTTGCCTCAGAAATGCCATTATTTCTATTTTCAAAAATTTCTATTTTATATACTGTAACAATTTTCAAAAAGTAGCTCAATTGCTATAGTGATGAACTATCTAAAGTTGCTTCTTCTGTTCTGTTGGCAATTGATATAATTATTGTGAATTAGTATTTTGTATGGAAGTCACAAATTTTACTTTTTTACTTTGTCTACTTTTTGCTAACTATAGGACACACTACTGCACGTTTAGGGCTCCCTTCTTCAGTTGGTAAACATCTAACATGTCTTAATCCATCATTAAAACATTATTAAACATATATTTAACATTTCTCAAGAATAAAAAATATGGATTTCAGAGGCCAACTGTGTCTTTAAACAGTTGATATACTTGATGTTCGTGACTGTCAAAATGAAAGTTGTACTTATTATTTCAACACATGCGAACTTATAACTTAATCAGCTGAAAATCACATTAAAACATCCGTTGTAAAACTAAGATTGATGTATTAAATTATATGTAAAATTTAAATTAAACATGCATATCAGGAATTTCTAAAAATGCATCCAAGCTTGGAGTATAAGTAAGAAATTAAATATAATAACTTCATACATATATATCTTATATATATAATAATGCTTACACTAAATAATCACAATTAAGAATCATAAGTAACAAAGGGGACAACATTTGAATTTGTATTCTGTTTTATAAAGTTAAAAATTTATTATACGAAGTTTGACCCATTAACGATACACAATGTTAAAAGCTCAGGGACGAAAAAGGACAAAAGCTCAACTCTGCTGAAAACTTTTTATATTATATACAAATTTTTAATTGCCTTTCTCTGAAACCATTAACATATACATGCTTTGTAAAGAATTTTTTTTCCAAATTATTCACCATCTATTGTAATAAAATGGTCACATTTTCAAAAGTCATAGTATTTTCAAACTATATGCAAACAATGGACTCCAATGTATCATTTAGATACATTTTTGTATTCTAATATTTCATGCCAAAATGTTGATAGACTTCTAAGTGATTTAGTATGAACATTTGTACGATGAGTAATAATATATTGTTCTACAACAATCAATTGTCTGCTTTATATAGATATTATATTATAGATTATTAACTTGGTAAGTAGTATTACAGACTTACCAACTACATTCATACACAATTCATTACATACGTATGTGCTAATAAGTAAGCAATTCGTGATCACAGCAAATAGATTTTTATATAGTTTTCTGACGGAATCAAGTGTTTTGTTTTTCTGTGAATGCTCGGAGTCGTTAGAGGACAATGACAGTTGGTGTATTTCTATTTGTTTTAAAGGCCGCGAAAGTTGCATTGAAACCATTTCGACTCGAGACATTGACTTTTCTTACAGATATAATGCTTTTTGTTTTTGTTACTTCATTTTTATGTTTCGTAACATCAGGTGTTAAGTGACGTGTGGCATCTTTAAAAAGTTGTCCCGTACTTCTCATAAGTGTTGTTATATTTTTTCTGGTCCTTCGAGGTCATTGGTGGATAAATCACTTTAGCCGGTGCTAGGGGACATGGGAGATGATGCTCTTTACCATTATCCCTCACGAACAGACTCATTCGAACCAAATCTGTAGTATTCATGTAATTTTGTTCTTTTCATTCTTTCCGTAAGATCTCCGATTTTCTAGATTTTTATATTTCATATATCTATTTAAACTGTAAAACTGTTGTTGTATTTGGTGTTTAAAAAACAACTGAAGCATGATGTTGATGTATACATTCTTGTCATTGAAGGCACATTATGCCTCAGAAATTAACAATTTTGTCTCTATCTTTTAAAGAGTTCTATAACGTTAAGGTAATGGTTTTTGAGCAAGGTAGATGCTTATCATTAGAAAAAGGTAGTGCTGAATGTGAAATCATGGGTCATAAAAGTAACAAAATGTGAACAAAGTAGTATTTTGACTTCCATACGCAATACTTATTTACTATAAAAGTACTGATAGCCAAAACGCATCAGACGAAAAGGATGGTTTGTGTACTTATTGGTGAATGAAACTATAACAGGACACCAAAATAAAAAAAAACTTTCAAAAAAAGAAGAAAAAAGAAATTAAAGCATTCCTAGGGCATAATGGGTCTTCAATAGATGAGAATGAAAAGAATAGTTTATATGTTCTTTCACAACAATGGAATGTTGTTTTTCATGGTAAGGAATAAAATGGCAACAATCATGGCAATTACATGTATATCGTTGTCTTAGAAACTGATAGAATCCTTGAATATGTTATGAATTTTCTTTTTCTAAGTTTGTAAGATACACACACTACGTCATCACAGCGTTACCTTTGGTGACACGTGCACGACTGGACAACGTGATTGATAGTTCGTAACTTAAATTCATTCTTTAGCATGATGTATTAAAAGAAATATTTCTTTTTTATCACGTGAGAATTCAATTCCCAACTTGATAGAACATATGTTAATGGTATCATGCAATATATTGCTGAAGCGATTTACCTTTGTATAAATATCCCTGCTTTTTCTTTTAATTGTTTTTGTTGGTTTGTTTTGTCTTAAAGTCACATTAAGCCCCAATAGTGAATAAAATTGTTCGTTTTTAGAAAAAATCAATATGTGTTCAATATTGTTGTAGAAATGGATTAAAGTATGTTAGAGGCATAACACGTGAAGAAGTAATGCTCTCTGTAAAATTAGTTGTCATAATTTGTCATAAAAGTAGAAAAAATATAAACAAGCTGGTATTTTTACTTCCATACAAAATACATGTACTACTAATACGCTAAAACTACTAAATGCCACGATGCAAAACAGGAAATGGTGATTCTGCTCTATGGCCATTAAATAACTGTGTAGAAACTGCAACAGGCCACCAAAACTTAAAACGTTTTGAGAAATAAAAATAATTTCATTGTTGGGGCTTAATGGGCCTTTAAACCTTGTTTCAAACTAAGGAAATCAATTTATATTTTTTTCATATAGCACACCAGATACATGTACATTATACAATTTGCAACAAAATAGTTACTTTATATCATTTTCAAGTAAAGTTTAATGTTGTTGTTTCTTTCAGTACAAAAAATTCCTACGAACAATGTTTATCAAGCAAAATAAATTCTATACGATGATCATTCTACACGTAAATTGTTTAAATCTAATAGCTATGCAAGGAGTTTTCATTACAGGGAATATATAAATCAAATTCCTATTTCGTGAATCTTTCTGCACGCAAAAAGTAACAACTGGAAACAAATGCTAAATTCCGTGATATCTGTCTTTAACAAGCGTTAAACACAGACAAATCTACATCATTAGACGATTCTGATGCAACTTATTCCTAAATCAATGTTAAAAAGGCGCTTTGATTTTGCAGTCGGGATTTTCTTTTCGATGACCTGGTCATCCTTTCGTCTAATAGATGATGGTAAACGATGTTGAGCGTTATTGTTTTCATAGGGGCATACATAAGGAACGAATCTGGGATCGTAATTTAGTATGTTATTACATTTTGAGAAAAAAAAAATAATAAAAAGAAATAATTTTTTTCCTTTTGAAAAAAAAAGTTAAAGGTGCATTAAGCATAAAAAGCTGTCATTTTTTATATTTTCAAACGCCCTTTATTTTGTGAGTTCAAAGTTTCAAAAAATGATACCCATTGGCAATACAGCTGAGCAATCTTTGCTTCTTTTGTGTCTTGGAAATTAGTACAGTTATAGTTACTTAGTATATTGTATGGAAGTCAAAATACTAGAAATACCCCTGTTTCCGTTTTGCTATATTTGTGACAAATTATTTCATATCCAGTGCTATTATCTTTAGGCTATAAGCAACACTCAGTGGAGTCCCATCAATGTTATGTTCGCTATATACGTAACACCTTACACTGGACATAATCATGATTATCTCATTATGAACTATGTAATGAATTTTTATCATTACTGACAAACTTCTCTGATGATTATGCTAAATCAAACTAGTTAAATGATGCAGAAATCGTCCCCCCCACCCGCCACCGCTCTCAATCAAAACCTAGATATTTACTAGAAGTTCTATCAAGTTTGTGACTTGATAATCTGTTTATTGGTTCATTGTTTCCTTTGCTCAAATAAAGCCAGTAAATGTATATCATTAGAAGTATGCAATAAAAATGCGATTTATTTATTGTTCAGATGTACAAAATGATATATAAGAACTTATTTGATTTTCGTACTTTTTTTTCCATTTCCTCTTTTACTGAAA